CCCCAAAACCCCAAAACCCCAAAACCCCAAGAAATAGAAATTTATAGCATTAGAAGATATTTATATTAATGCTCAGTTATTTATATTTGAAACTTTAAAACCATATCATAAGCAAATTAATGACTCTCTAGCTAATAATTACTCTTTAATACTAAAACTTCTATTATTTTGTCCTTTAGTCATGAGTCATTCTATAAATATGAATTGATGATCGAATCAAATATGTTGATATGTTAGAAGGGATAAGGTAAATCCTTTGATATAAACTTACGTTTTTGTAAAGATCCTAGAAATTTCTAGGTTCATTTTCAAAGGTTATTCTATTATTATGATGATTACTCATGAGGCTTTCTCTTCCCTAGCTTTAATGATTAGATAGTAGCATTCCCAAACCATTATTTTTATTTTTAAACGTTTTAAATTTATGACTACTATTTATCCCTAAACCTATTTAGCCTGGCACATCAATATTTTATGGAGATGGATTTGAACTATTTGGCTTTAAATGATTGAAATTATTTTGAAGCCGCATTTCTAAATTTTCAAACTGAAATTAGGGCTTTTAAGTGTAAAGAAAATCATCATCACCTTCCTCAATAGTAGAAAGAGTATCGATGTTTAGACTTTTCCCATTAGAGCTAATATAATGATTTTTTGTTTAGTGATTTCTGTTTACTATTATTCTCTTTCTTTTGTTAAGTCCATACCAAAAACTAAATAATAGTGAGCCCACGGGAATGAAATCTCCAAAAAGGTAAAATGTTATTTCTACTAAAGGATATGCTAATTAATCATACTACTATCCATCTGTTTGCAGCTTTTCAAATTGCTCTTTGAATGCTGCTTTTATAGTTGAGATAATAAGCATGGTACTTAAACTCAGGAATAGAATTATTAATACGAATAGGATTTAGCTCTTTTCTTGGTAATAAAACTAAGGATAAAACTACTTCAGAGTCCTCATTAGATCGTATGCAATTGAAAAGAGTAAAATCAGAAGGAATACTGAGAATAAGATATAGGATATGCTAAAGATTTAATTGATCTATGAGAAACTACAAATGAGCATGAATATTATATGCAAAATAATATTGTAACTTACTCAACAGTTTGAGCAAATAATATAGTAAGCAGTTCAGCTATGTCTATCAAAACTACAATAGAACATATAATAATTAGAGCACGTCTTGATTTCTTTTAGTTTCTCTTAAAATCATCTAGCCTCTTATGGTTCTAAGCCTTTACTATTAGGGCAAAGTCAAGCCTAAAATTGAAGTTAAAATAAACATAAATTCTAACTTGAAGAAATATTTTGAATTATTGAGTCTTACCATTTCCATATAGTCAAAATATACGCTATAAGATAAAATGTGTTATCTAAGACAAAGAATCCATATACTACAGTGTCTGTAAATTCTCCAATCCAGCAATATACCTCAACCATAAGATAAAATACAGTGTAAAGTTCTCTATATATTGTTCCAAGGGAAATTAGAATAATAGTAAGCATCATTGCCCCTCCTTTACCACTTAGCTTTTTGCAGGTAAGCATTAGTGAGTAAAATGAAGATATCATAAGTATTGAATTTAATATCACTACCAACCACATTACGATAGCTAACTTTACAAGTGGTTCTTTGGGGTCATTCTCATCTTAGTACATTAATTCATTTTACATTTTTTTAATTTTATAATTTTACCATGTTTTATGGATTCATGGGGTTTTGGGGTTTTGGGGTTTTGGGGTTTTGGGGTTTTGGGGTTTT